TGTCTACTTCCAGTCCAGTGTACCGGGTGTTCCCGTATATTTTTGCACCCTACCTGCAGTCTTTACCTTTACAGGCAGATCATAGGTGTCTCAGAGAAATAAAAAACAATAAATCCCTTATTGTTTGTATGCCATTGACAACGCCCATTCTAAGCCGAAATTTCCCTAAAATTAGGGAGAAATGTATTTTTTCTAAATGATTTCAACGCCGCTTTGTTAGGAAGCTGTCCACCTGCTTTACCCCAGCTGAGTGATCATAGGCGTACGGAAGGAAGATTAAATGGTGAAAATATTTGTTACCAAGATTATTCTATTTTAAAGACAAAAATTAAGCAAATTTAAAAGGAATGTTCTGCTTCAAATTCATGTTACATTATGAAATAATACAGAAAAAGGAAAGTTTTTAAGTGAAGTCAAGACTGGACACAAATATCAGTCCCCATTTATTCCAATGTATAGTTTGTTTCAATCACAAGTTACAGTAAACAGTGAACATAAACCTAGGCCTACAAATTTATTTCGTCAAATACAATTTTGCGAATAGGTACATCTATACTTTTGAATATTCCGCTAGTTTCTAATATTAGGTCATCCTAATTTATTCATTTTGAGTAATTCATTACCTATAGTTACTCATTACGAAACAAAATAGTTTTTGTATTTATGCTACGCACTCTATTAATATGTAGTTCCATGATCTTGAGATAGCTTATAGGTTAAAATATATTTTAAAAGTTTTTTTCTGTGACATAAACTGGATACATTTTTTGCAAACTCTCTATACAAATGAGCAACCCTAAAATTCCAGTTTTTCTTTTTGATTTTAAAATTGGATCATTTTGCAATGTTAGCCCTAAAATATATGTTTTTAAATCATTCAATACATTTAAAAAGGAAGGAAAAGTTTGTGGAGAACATGGTTTCTTATAAAAATACTTTGCCAACCTATTTCTCGAATTGAAAATATCAAAAAGATTATTGAAGTTTAGCAGAAAGTCTGATGTTCCTTCAGATTCTTTGAAGTAATCGTCCTTTAAGACTTCTCTCAACAAGGTGAGAGCATCACTAGTGCTTTTGCTCAACGTTTGGGTGGCTAATCTTACTGTCATTTTTTCCCTTTCCCATTGTAAATGTCTGTTTCTAATTTCTGTCGCTGCATGAAGGCCGTCTTTATTTTGTTCTCTACAAGTTTTTCCATAAACTCTCATTTGATATCCCTTTTTCTGAATCTTTTAATCCCTTCCGTGATGCAGAACAATTCCTGACTAATTTGAGCAAATGACATGGGTCTAAATAAACAAAAATGTCATAATTCAAGGTGGAATGTTTAAACGAGGTCTTAAGATTTTGATTTTTTTTTAAATTGACTCCTAATTTTTGGACAGCACTTAAGTTTGTGGGTGACTCATCAAATGTAAAGGATGTGACAGTAACACCACTTTCAGAAATAAACTCCAAACATTTTTCTATCAGATCTGCTTTTTGAGTAGCTGCTAATCCATCCAGCAGGAAATATCCCACTGGCACTTTCCAAGAGCCAATATTTGCTCTAAAATCGACGTAGCCTGTATAGTTGGTGCCTGTCCATTCTACTCGGCGTCTGATGGCCATTTCATCCATTACCAAATTGCAAAGTATTGGATGTGGAGATTCTTTCTGCTTTATTTTGAGGGTATTCAAGACTTCCTTAGTGAACCCAGGCATCCGTCCACTGATTGAAACCATTTTGAAATAGTGGATAAATGGGGCAAACTTCGATTAAAAGTTCTTCTCACGTAGTTATATGCCTTTGGTAAATAGAATGAAAGGGTTAAAGCAAAAAATCTGAGTGAGGGATTGGATTTTTGCTTGTTGGGTCTTTTTAGCATTTTTTTGAATATGTCTCTTGCAGGTCCTTGTAGAGATGCCTATAATAAAAAAAGTGTGCTTTATGAAAAAAATGGGATTCACCTGTGAAATCAAAATACCTAATGATTAACAGGGTGCTCATTAAAAAAAATAGCTATTTATGCAACAAGTGTGTGAAGTGAACCTTTTTTCATGAATGTGAATTTTGACGCACGAGCAGCAGGCGAGTGCGACAATCACAGGAGTGAAGAAAAGTGCTTTAGATACATGTTGCATACAAATTTAATACCGACAATTTTTAAATTTGAAAAAAAATATATCCCAACTTAACACACTAGCGTCTAAAGTAAGTTACTTCACATCCCAGGGTATAAAGTGAATATGACATTTCTAATTCCAAAAAAGGACAGCGAAAACTTTCATAATGTCAAATTGTTCACCTTACGCACTAGGGTGTGAAGTAAATTACTTTAGGCACTAGGTACGTCTTCCAAACAGTGCGTAAAGTAAGTACTTCACGCACGGTAGTAGAATAAAATAATTTCATTGCACTACTTTTTTTAATGTTGGTTTGTGTATATTTTTTCATCCGCTTACCCTTATAGTAGATTCTGATACTTCAGAAATATAGGAATTCTGCTTCAAATGAATTAGTAAACCCTTCCCAACAGTGGACTGAAGTGAATGATTTTTTTTCTTTGGCATCTAACAACGTTTTTAACATGAGATATGTTTCTTGCTCGCTTTTTTGGTGTAGAAAAATCTCAACTGCTGAAATCTTCAACGCCTCTTTTTCTAATAAAAATATTATATATTACAGGGTGTCCTACAATTATCGTTACACGTCATAACTAGTTTATTCCTTAACTCAGAGGTTCTTTAAGATACAAATTTTACACATACATTAAATAGATTTCATTGATTTCAACCAAATTTGGCACAAAAATCCTATCTAACTATGACATGAACCTTCTTAATTTTGGATAATGTGGTGGATGGGTAACGGGGGGATGAAATATCATAATTACTGTTTATACAACATTTCATTGTAAGGTAGAATATTCGTGCTTTCGAGCACCAATTTTTTTCTTCAAGAATAAAGAAGTTATCGTCTGTAACTCTAGTAAAGAAAATAGTAATTTAATGATATTAGAAAATAATGTTACCTTTTTTTTTGGAACTGCAACCAAAGCCAGTTTTCCTTGAAAACCAGCTTCAGGCCCTACTAAATTTTTTAAGTGTTCAGAATTTGTCCCTACGTCTGGTTCTAAGACTGCATTCTTCAATATTTGTTCCTCAGTTTCTGAAGCTATTGAGGTAGTTGAGGAGGACTGAGAGAGCACTGTCGGGCATTTGGAAGTAATCGGAGCATCAAAAATTCTAAAAAGAAAAAATAATAATGGAGCAATCCCTTGTTTTAAGAAGTAGGTAGACCCATATATGATTACCACTGACTCTTATTTATCTCAACACCGAAAAAAATCCTATGTAGTATCCTATACACAAATGAAAAATACGAACCCTCCAGAAACAACCTTTTCATCAGACACATGACTCTCCCGATTAACGAGCTTAACCACAGGTATGGAAGAACATGAGGATATATGGGGTACACTCATTCCTTGGAATCTAACATGATTTAATAGGTGTTAACGCCCTACCTGATAAATAACGAATTTTGAGCTTGGAAACTGAACTAATTGCAATCACATACCCTTCTAAATCAGGAGAATATTTTGTATCTTAATTCTTTTTGGATTATAAAATCATCCCAAGCCATTTGTTGTAGTTTGTATAATATAGCCATTTTTTGTTATCACAAACCAACATCTACTTACAATACTTTTGTTTTTGGAGGAGACTCCGTAACTGAAGAGTCTGAGCTGAGGTCTGAACTGAAAATTAATGTAGACATTATATCAAATATTGAATAACCAACTTACTTTGAAGTATTGAAAACATTGGAAATAGGTAAAGGATCCGAACCAAATTTCAAATATCTAAATTCATTAGTGCATATATCATTGAGATTAAAATGATCTGAACAAACTTCAGCGGTTTTGGGTAGTTGCTTATTTTCTTATCATCAAATTCAAAGTTTTTTTTGCAAAATATAATCGGCAACCTTTTGATTCGTCTAGGATGGCGTTTAGACTTGATTATTTAGACTATGCTTTTTCACAGGTTTTGTTGTAAAAATAACGCTGAAAAATCGCCAGACGGTAATCCCAGTTCGAAATCGAGTTTCACGGCGAAACATTCTGTGGACATTTCGAACAAGGGACAGCCATTAAAACCACTTATATATCAGCTAACTGGCCACATTTATTCCTCAAAATGCCAGACAAAAAAAATAACTCCACTAAACAGGCCCTATCTCAGGGTCTAATACAAAAGTTGTACAGTTTTAGCAAAGTTTTTAGAATCCATCGTCAGAAACAAATAACACATCGCGAACAAGCACCTAAAAAATTTTTTTCTTATGTAAATTGACTTGGCGGATCCGATTCTGGAGTTCGCCAGTCAATCTGGAATTGCGAAACTCGTCAAAACCGGCATTTTCCAAAAAATATCCAATTTTATGAATTTTTCTAAATTTTTACTCAACACGCTGTATCTCCCTTAGTTTTAGTCCGCTTAGATTGAAATTTTTTGGAGAGCCAATTTAGACCTTTGTTATAATGACTTATAACAGAAATGCAGAAAAAAAAATCACGAATCCCCATAATATATATTTTTATTTAGTGGCACGAAAAATTTCGTAGCTAATTATGAAAAAAACACAAGTGAATTTCAAAGGAAAATGACCACCAGACGGAGTTGGGCAGGTCTGGACTTTGGATTTATTAAATTTTAACCAATAATAACATCACATAAAGAATCTATGCTCATTGCTTCCAAAGTTCTTTCAATCTGAGTAGCTGCAAGGAAACATTATTTCAAATTATCTGCAAGAAATTTTAAAACCTTCCTTTTTCTTTTGAAAAATATAATCAATCTTACCTGTATCGAAAAATACATTGAAAATCTATACTTAGTAACGTGTGTATACACAACGGATTTTTTTTTAAAGCCAACTATTCACTCTCCACTTATCAAATTTTACATTTGCGATTTGAAATCTAGCTATGTTGTAGGTACAAAAAAAAAGCCATTCGCTTATTCCACACTTTTAATTTATTGTCAGAATTTCATTTATATTTTTGGCAGAGAGGCAAAAACTTGATCTTCAACCCCACAATGATTTTGTCCACGCAAGATCCTAAAATATCCACCATCTCCCCAATCACTGTTCCAAGAATTGGAACATAGCCAATATTTTATTTTATTCTCAATGCCCCAACCTAAAATTTTAATGGCGTGTCCACCAATGTATTTGCCACTGGTTCTTATGTACACGCCACTCTTATAATTGAAAAAATCATCGAAAATATCTATAGCTCCTTCTACAGGGCCATTTTGCATAATTTCTAATTGGATTTCTTCTTCTGAAGTGAATTGTTGCACTCTTCCACCATAAGTAAGGGAATTTTGATAATCTAAGGAAGAATTGTAACATTTTCGAAGACATCTAGGTGTCTTGAGTCTTAAATCGTCACAATGGGGACGAGACTCAACATTGTTAAGATGGTGTTCACAAGGTGGAAGGCTGTAAGGCCTACATTTATCAACCACGATGCCATAGGTCTCCCAATACCACCATGCTCTAGGAATTCCACCTCCAAGACACCCTTTGCCACACTCCCAACAGCAAGAAAGCAAATCTTCAGGTGAAACATAATATTGTAGAGTTTGGTTTGAGTGAATGCAAATTCTGTCGGACATTGTTGAGGCTGCACTGACTGCCTAAAAAAATGCAATTTTGTTCGAACAACTAAATTACTTATATTTCTTCGAAATGGGAAATTGAAATTATAGTTACCCAACAAGAGCCGCAATGCGACTGATCCCAAATGTGATTAATGGATTGGCATTTGGACCACTTTCTTCTGGCATCAAAATGTTCTAGAATATTTGCTTTTAGAATGGAATTTTGCCTGTTAAATGGCTGAATGGTCGTAGGACTCTTCCAGGCACCTTCAAAATAATACAGCAATACGAAATATAATGCGAAAACGTACCGCAAGGCATTAAATACTGGGAAATATCTTTCCGACAAAATCCCGAAACACGTCAACTTTGTTTATCAGGGGGACAACTTTGTCGTAAAAAGCATAACAAAACCTTCCACCCTCTAAGTGGAGGTGTCATCCCCCAAGTTTTTTCAAATGAGAATGGGGGTCAGGTGATACCTAACTCATCAAAGACGGCTTCCTATTACCTATAAACTGCTGCTTAGTTTTACAAAAATGATCGACTCGCTTGAAAAATATGGAGTGGATCGATTTTGTAAAACTAAGCACATTGCTGCTTAGTTTCACAAAGTGGGTAGGGAATTGGAAGCCTTCTTCAAAACCATCATTCCCATTTGAGAAAAAAGTGTGGATGACACCCCCATTTAGGGGGTGGAAGGTTTTGCTATGCTTTTCACCTCAAAAATTGTCTCTCTGACAAACAAAGTTGACGTATTTTTAGATTTTGTCCAAAAGATCTGTAATGTCTTGCAATACCTTTCCGATAGGCCACCCATTAACAGACCAATTCGTATCCAACGATATAATTTTTTTACTAAATCAAATGATGTATATCAGAGTGTACTCATTAAGTCGGGCGAGAACTGAAACCTATGAATTCAAGCATGCTGATTTGTTTTTTCATTGCGTAACAAAAGCTTCAATGGAAATGGAATATTATTTAAAGAAGCTCAAAAGCTCATAATCAGGTGACATCTATACCACGAAATAATGAAACATAAAATATTAATCACTATGGATATAACTTATTTAATATAAATATTACAGTATAGGTTCCAACATACCCGATGCCATGTTTTTCACTTTAGACCACTCGGCAACATTAAAATTTCTTCCAGCTTTCCAGTTTGTCTGATTTCTGTTGATCCAGGCAATGTATTGTTGGGATAAAGGATGATATTGACTAGAAATACTGATAAAAACGGCGCAAAAAATAAGGAAAAAGTCAAACATATTTTTGCAATGGATAAATCCGGGTATAAAAATCAGGAATAATAATTCAATATAGATTGGATATGAATATTGCGATAAGAAAAATTTAGTTTATTAAATAACAATATACGTATTTATTTCAGATTTGATAGCAATAAATCATCAAGAGTCAGTCATTGAGATATATGGAAAACCTAATTATTAAGGTTGAATGTTTTTTGATTGATAGGTGCCTCATAGAAATATAATATTTTTTCCAATTTATTTGTTAGTAGATAATTGCTTACAGCTAACAAATGAACTTATTATTTGGAATATCTCCAATAAAAAGTACATAACTGGGTATACAGTGATGCTCATAAATATGAGAATAATTGATTCTGCAGATAAAGGAGAAATTAAATGAGTTAATGCCTTTTTATACCTACGGTCGAAAAGCAAATAAGTTACCTCATCGGGTACAAAAGGTTCGAGTTTCTTGGATAAAAGTACTTTATATGTAGCCCCAGCAAACATCGGTATATTACTATTAGATAAATGTTATATATTTTCCTAATAAGTAATATTACTTTTTGATTGAATCGGCTTTTACTTGGTGGAAATCCATTATCTAATAAAAGATTTTTTAAGTAAATTTTAATACTTATATATTTCCACAATTTTTTGTTAAACTTTTAACATGTTTCGCTAAACTTTAGCTTCATCAGAAAGATTTTAGAAAAATAAAATGTAGACATAAAAGTGAAATTGACAAATATAAAAAAGGTAAAAGCTGGTCTAATTTTATGTTAATTTAAATAGGTATTACACAGTAAATAAATTTAAAAGTGGTGAATTGTTTAAATCTAATTGGTCGTTCAATAAACAGTCTAAAGTTTTAAGTTTGTTTATTTCTAAAGATTCTAGAAGATTTAATTTTATCCCTTTGTTTTCATTATGTAGTATTTGAAATTCATTATTAAAATTATGATTTGATTCTATCAGGTGATTAGCATAATTTGAATCTGTTTTCTTTTTATTGAAACTATTGTAATGTTCTTTAATTCTAGTACCAAAATTTCTACCTGTTTGTCCTATATATACTTTTGGACAATCTTTACAAGATAATTTATAAGTATTAAAATTTATATATATAAGTATTAAAATTTATATAATATATAAGTATTAAAATTTACTTAAAAAATCTTTTATTAAGTAATATTACCACTGCATAACAAATCTGTAATGGTTCTGTTACTATTTTCCACTCAATGTTACTAAGACGCGATGGAATAACTATCCCATTACATAACTATGTAACAAAGTAACATAACATAAGCTTATAACCTTAATGCTACAGATTCTTGTAACATGTAATATAACACGGACGTAATTACATTGCAACGTTTTTGCTAAAAGTCGGTTCTAAAACCAGATTCCAAACGAGTATATTTTTATTCGGCAGTAATTCCTCTTCAGCTTAACGGTCGCAATGTTCTCATCTTTGAGATGATTTCTAGCAATCATTATGCTAAAACAATTTCCAAAATATTCCATGACCAGCAGGCGAATTACAATTTTACGTTTCGAATCGAATCGAGCATTTTTTTCTAATTTGTTGATTCTAATCTTACGGAGCAACCATCTCGATGCGAGATTATCTGTCATTTTTAGTCGAAACCTAAAGAGGTGTCGACTTGGGAATTATAACATACGGCGCAATCTTTTTTTCACCGGTGGAACCACCGATGAGCTGTTTATCTTTGTCTAGTACGTAGGAATTCGAAGTGGCTAACTTAATGTTGGATTGGCTAGTTCCATGGAAAAATTTCACATAACATTGACAAACGATTATTTTTCTTATTCCATCGTTAAAAACAAATATTTGTGTTGTGTTTTCCCTAATATGGTGAAAGTTTCATAATGGCTTTGTTCAAAATTAATGAAAACCATTGACTGGTGATGATCGATTTAATGGAAAAAAATAAAGACTTTGCATGTGCAACTGCTAACGGCAGAGAACATTTCCGAAAATTATGGAAAGAGCTGACCACTAAACTGAATACTTTAGGGTACAGAGAACGGCCTGTTGAGAAGTGGCAAAAGGTAAAGAAAGACATTTTATTCTGTAAAATTTCGTATACGTATTTGTCCTTTTTCATTGCTCCTGACTTTGTCTGTTATTGTTTTTTTTTACATTTCAGTCTTGGGCGGATTATGAATCCAATTTAAAAAAAAAGGCAAGTCAGCTCAAGAAATGGCAAGGTCAAACTGGGGGTGGTCCAGAGTTGAACAAAAAACTATCCGATCTAGAACTTAGGGTTCTGGATATTCTCGGAACCATTTTCTTTGAAGGATGTGGGAACAAAGAAGTTGCGGTAAGTCTGATAGTGCACATGTTATAAATTTCATGTATTTCTTGAATGCTTAATTGAAAGCATATTCTTTGTTCTTTTAGCTTGAGCACTTAGAACAGAATAGATCAACAGAAATGCTTCAGACTGGACAAGAAAATTCTCCTAAAAGTTTTATGTTTGACACAGCACAAGGGAAGGCATATTATAGCTCATCAGCATCATGTTCAACCATTGGTATTCACGTGAGACTTTTCAATTAGGTCATGACTATATACCAACTCCAAAAAAACGAAGACAAAATGATATTGATGCAGATATGTATAGGGAAACCATTCAAATCCTAAAAAACATCGATGCAAAACTTGATCAAGGCTTAAACAAGATTAGCCATACTTTGGATACGCATCTTGCAAATACATATGAGGCATTGGTAAAAAAACAATAATTGTTTTGATTTTGGTTTTTTTTTCTGATATTTTCATTACCAATATGTTTATATCTAAATACATATTTGTTTGTAGGATTTTTTTCAAAATTTGTATAAGATTTATCAAAACCAAAGAATATGACTGTTTAGTTTAAGAGTTATTAGTTATAATACTGTCAACTAGCTGCTTAGGAAAGGAGGACTCGGTATTTAACCTTATTAATTTAATTGCCGATTCGATCGGATGTTTATTGCAATTCAGCAATAAATTGATATAAACTGCGCTGCAAGCCGCAGCAAAGGCAGACTTAAACCAGTGCAAGTACCTCTCGTTGGAAAAGCCCCTCTGGAATTAAGTCTCCCCAGTGCAAGTACAGTTGCGATCAAAAAAAAGGAGTACAAAAATTATTAACTCCAATTTGAGCTCCCGGTGTAACATACAAAATTTTGACAGTAAATAGACAGGCAATGACATCTCTAGGTTAAAAACGGGTGGCAAAATGTCAAAGTAATGTCATCTGAATCTTTTTAGGTTAGAAACTTGTCGAAAAATGCCAAAAATATGTCATTTTTGGTTATGAATTGAATTAATGTATAATAGACCAGGAGATTTTGGAGATTTTTCTTGTACTACTTTTTTCTAATCGCAACTGTACCTCTTGTTGGGAAAGCCCCTCTGGGTATCTTCAGCCTTATCGTTGTCCAGTGCAATTACCTCTCGTTGGGAAAATCCCTCTGGACAAGGCATAAGGGTGACGATAACAAATCAACAGTCCCCCAAGCAGCGTTGACGTGTGGCTCCCTATAAGAACCCCAGTGTTCGAAGGGTCATGCATCTTATACGATTAACGTACATGTAAAGGCATATTTGGGAAAATATATATCTATATTTTTATATAACCTGAGCGAGTTTCTCTCCATCAACCCCCAAAGCTACAAACCCCCCATTTAACCCCCGTAAAGCGGGCAGTTGTGACAATATTTATTTTATTTTATTTATCACAAATAAAGTTGGTTCCTCTATATTTAATGTAGGTAGGTACTTAATACATTAGTTGATAATAGATGTGCCTGCAAAGGGCTTCTCAGGATGAACTTAAGAAGAGAATATTTGAAAAAACTTTTATTATGTATATTTTTTTTACCTGTAAGAGGGTATTTTTTGGGTGCTTCTTCCAAAACTTCCGATATTCGATTCATCTTAAAACTTAAAGTTAAAAATAACATGGAAATTACTTAACATTTTCAGCAAAATACAAAAATTCAGGTTATCCGAGAAAAAAAAAAATATATAAAAAATCAGAATATCTCATGTAAATTAGTGATTGAAATAATTGTTTACTATAATTTGTCTGATTATATTATTATCATTAAGAAGGTTGATATTTGAATTATTGTCTGGTAAATTTGGTATATTTTCTTGTTCCCCGGGCTCAAGATCTGGAAGTTCCATGTTATACTGTAAGCACATGTTATGAAGTACTGCACACGCTGTGACAATTTTTCCCATGAAAGAAGGGTTATATCTAGCTCTTCGTTCTACTGCCAAACAACGGAACCACATCTTCCAAACTCCATTGCACCTCTCAATGGTATTTCTTGCAGAACATAATCTTTGATTGAATCTGAATTCAGGGCTTCCTTCTGGGGGATTTATATATAAAAATGGTACCATTATTATGGGCTCCAAAGGATATCCTGAGTCTCCAATAAGCCAAATTCTCCTAAGACCATTGTTGTGCCGTAGTAAAAGATAGTCTCTTATTGCAGATTGAGTCCAAATAAATACATCGTGACAAGACCTAGGAAAATTGTGATTAATATTAATAATCGTCAAATTGGCGTCACACATTATTTGGACATTCAATGAATGGTATCCTTTGCGGTTGACAAAATTATGTTCTTCCTCATTGGGTTTCTATATTGCTACGTATGTGCAATCGACTGCTCCCAATGTTCCTGGAAACTGAAATTTTTCCATAAATACCTGCTTATTTTGATTAATTTCCATCAGGGTTGTAGGAAATTGTATTTTCCTACGAGCGTGCGGAAAACGCGTTTTCACGCACTAATTTGCGTGCGGAAAGTACCACTTTTCCGTAAAAAAAATTTACCGCACGGCGTGCGCGAAAATAGTTTTTCACGCACGCTGTGCCCGAGAAAAGCTTTCATGCACTGATTTTTTTTTTTTTTTTTTTAATTTTTTTATTTATGTCATGCTTCTCAAAAATTTTAGATCTTTTCGAAATTTCTCCATCGTTTTTCCTCTTCAAGAAAGCGATAAGGTTTTTGTACTGACCAATATTGACCTCTGTAATGAGTTGTATACCATAAATAGTTAATTCTACTCGAAATAAAAATAATTGTTAATGTTCTGTTGTTAAAATTATTGCGTTATTAAAGTACCTAATTAAAAAATCACATTTTTGAACATTTCTTTTATCAGTAGAGCCAAAAACTAAAAAAAAAACAATGTGTCAATTTCCGCACGCTCGTAGGAAAAATGTTGTACCTAACACAAGCGTAAAGTATCTTTTCCGCACCTACGGCTTTCACGCCGTTGCGTGCGGAAAAGTATAAGTTTCCGCACTTGTTAGGTAAATGACTATTTCGCCGCAGTCAGATGGTCATATATTGCATCTGTGACTTCATGGATACATCTGAAACAATAACAAAAATAAGGAAATTTAGTGTGGCATGCAATTTATTTAAGCGTGTAAATGTTTTGAATGCAGTGTCATACATAATAGTTTTATTTACCTGTAGACCATCGACTGTCTCAAGCCAATGTTGAAATCTTCTCCACTGCCTCTTTGGTAACTTCCAGTGGCATAAAACAAAAGCGATGCTAAAACTTTTAAATCTGTGGAAACCCCATTAATATATGTTGAGACCCGTAAGTGAGGTCTCAGAAGATCACATAACTCTCTGCTTAGCTCCTTATTTAAACGAAATATTTCGATAAAACGGGATTCTGGTAAAGCAAAAGCATCCCCTCTTTCTCTCAGAAGTCTTCTTTCGATTCGGAGCTGCTGATTTTCAGCCAAACGCCGCTTCCGTCGCAATAGCCGATCCACCACGGGTAACATATTTAGTAATAACAGTAAATTCTCGAAAAACTAACTTGTAAATATAAATATTTTGAATTGACTACTTGATAAACAAAAAACTAACCTCACAAGATTGAATGCTGAACTTGAAGGATGTCAAAAATTCTCCATAAAAAGTAAAAATCGCCGAATTGGAAACACCTTTCAAGGTCATGTTATTCGAAACGAATACCGTATCGAGTCGATGGGGGTCCGGTACGCTTTCCGGACACACGATTTTTGGCATTTTTTCAATTATAATAAATAGAGAGTCCTCAATATAGTATTTTCCAAAAGAAAAAAATGCGGTATATTCAGCCAATTTTCAGAAAAAAAAATTAATTGAAAATTTCAATTTTAAATTGTTAAACAGTGTTATACCTATTTATTTTTTTTTCTATATTTCTCCGGATAATTCCACTCATGTGTTAAAAATCCCATAAGACAGGTGAATGACAGCGAAAATTCTCTTTTCCATTTGTTTAACTAGAGAGAATTACAGCGATAATTCTTCCATGTTATTATATACATGGTTGTCATGCTCATTTTTGATACAAACAAACGGTTCCTGATAGCAACCATTTATCTGTATCGATTGTTAAGATGTTCAAATCGTTTAATACATATTTATTTCCATATTTTTTCATTCTCAGACGTGAAATAATCCTCTAAATACCACTTGAGCTTTAAAATGAACCAGATAATTTTTCACTCATGCGTGTTTTCTCTGCAAATTTCACTTGTCCTACAGACTCGTGAAATTATAGAAAACACGCAATCGTTAAAAATTATCGGTAATTTTGAAGCTCTCGTGGTATTATCCCCGATTATTTTGTGAAATATATTTATTAAGTACTACTTAGTAAAACAATTTCAAAATAAACACACAACAAAAACATACAAAAATATTAACAAAAAATAAATATTCACAAGGTTCTATAATGTTCCGCTATTTGACTAATTAGATGCGTCATGCGTTCCCTTGATCGCCGACCATGAAAAGAATTCCACATAAATTGGTCAATATATTCGGGCAAAAAAAGGGAACTCATGACGCACAATCTTCGCAAGAACCCTTTTAATTGGGACCAGTACCCTTCAACATAATTGGTACAAACATTAGTAACAGGATCACGAAAATATCGACTATGATTAACCGTACGATGTATATACCCATGATGTTGAAGAGTATTATACCCTCTCCTGGTGCAACAATGTTTCGGATAATTGGAATTAATGTTGCCGCTGACCTATTGAGGACATATTGAATATATCCCTTTTTGGTCGTGGTATCAAAAATTCCAATTACCCATTTTTGTTGCACCAGAATCCCTCTGTGGTATTTCCTTCTAGTTATCACACTCGTCAATTTGGACTACATGTCCAGGTCCTCCTAAAATATATATTCAAATTAACTTTTTATTTTTTACTGAAAAAGAAAAATACCCGGATTCTGGAGCAGTTTCCAACTTAGAATGTCTCTAAAAAAGCGATATATTTGGACAATAGTCGCTTTCCAAGTACCCAAAATATTGGCGGCACAACCGGTACATTAAAAAAGAACTAGTATCGAGATAGATAGATCAATTTTTATACAGGGTGGTCCAACGAAAACTTAACACCTCAATTTTCCGGTTTTAAAATGAAAATGTGGAAAATTGCTCGGACCCGTCGACTTATCATTCATCCCCGCAACTTCAACCCCCTAACGAGGGTGAGCACAACCCCTTGATTTTGAATAGGG